ACCACAAGGAGATGGGAGATCCCATGGGCCCCCTCCGTAGGAGGCTGTGTTTCTTGCCCGCCCTGGGGGGTTCTCTGAGGCTGCCTTGGCTCGTGCATTGGACAGAGGGGGAGCTCGGGGCAGGGTGTGCGGGATCAGCCGTGGCATGACTTGTGGGAGAAGCCATGCGCTGATTTGATAAATCGCGAAGGAACGAGCTGTTTCAGCTTGCCAGAGCTCTCCATTGTGGGGAACCACACATCCCGCAGCCAGAGTGTTGACTTTTCACTAGAAAGCACATTTCAAAACAGTATCCCCACCCTCTTCCGAACACTTACTCATCCTCGAAGTCTACAAATGGAGACAAGTTTGTGGGTTTTTTCAATCTGTCCTCTCCCTTATTTCCCAGTCACAGGGGCATGATCTGGCCAAAGTTAAGCAACTCCTAATAATTTCCGTGGGGGGAAATGAGCTACTCGGCAAAACTCTCGGACTGAAATCTTTTTTTTTTAAGCCCCCGGAGGGGATTTTTTCTTGATTTTTTCTGGAGGCTACAAAAAACTACAACAGAAAAGAAGTGGAGGGGGAAACTAGATATACAGGAGAAAGTAAAGAACCCACTACTAACTAAAAACCCAAGAGAGGAGATCCTCCAACTAGCTTAGATACATCGAGTCTTCTCATCGTTGATCCCTTTATAAACTGAGTCAAACATTTATAGCCCTTTTCCCTTAAAGTTTAAATTTAAGTGTCTAGTAACAGTACCCCCAATCATCCCAAAACCAAAATTCTCAAAGGCACAATTCAGAGTCCTTCAGCCTTTACTTCTTCTTCTCCCTTCTCTTCTGCAAGTTATAGGGACTTGGGGCTCCCGCCCCTTGCTCAGACAGAGAGTCCTCTCCGGAAGAACCAGTTTCCAGCTCACCACTGGACTTACTGTCCTCTTCTTTTTTCCTGTCCTCTGACCTTCCCAGCTGAACCCTTAGAAATCCTTGAGCTTTCAGAACAGAGTCAATCTTTCCTTTTTTATCTTTGATCTTAAAAGTGACGCCTTCCGGAAATAGCCATTTATATCCAATTGAGTTTGTTTGAAGAAAAAGCACAAGTTCTTTGTATTTCTTTCTGCGTTGTCTTACTTCAAATGGAATATCCTTTAGCGTTCTGATGATGTCCTCCCCTGCTTTCAGGGGTGTTCCAGCAACCGCTTTCAGGATAGCATCCCTGATATGCCTCTTCGAGAATCTTACTACAATTTCCCCAGGCAGATTATTTTTCTTTATATATCCTGAATATGATCTGTAAACCACATCCATGTCGTTGAGCAGCGATTCTGCCTTCATTTCTGATACTGGGGCTAGTAGTTCACTCATCAGTTCTTTAAGATTTTCCCCTCTGTTCTCTGGCATGCCCTGGAAGCGCAGGACCATGTTAGCCTTATCCATTTGAACTTGCAGCATTTGGTCTTCCAAGGAAGTTTGTTTCTTTTCCAGCTTTTGCACTTTCTTCTTCACTTTCTGTGTAGTTGCAGCCACTTTCTTTACCTTCTCGGCATCTTGCTTCATTATTTGTATTAAGTCGTTTATTTGTGTTTGTTGTGCAGTAATGCCTTGTGTAACCACGGACATCTGTTCTTTGAAGTTATTCAGCTGTTCCAGTAGAGGGCGCATGTAGCCAGCTACAGCCTTTGCCGTCTCACTGGTAGTTTCCGGTTTGGGGCTCTCCGGTTTCACTTTCAAAAGTCTTTCTTTGTCCCTCTTCCCCACCATCTTTATCATTTGTTTACTTTCGCAAACTTTTCAAAAGTCTCTGAATGTGCGTTTGACTGCTTGGACTCGCTTTGGTAAGTACTCGCGTTTTCTTCCGTTCCCCCCCTCAATCGCTCAAAAGTTCATGCATATGGGAGGCATCCCTCCCCCGCTCGTTTTTTCTCCCGTTCAGTGGGGTGGGGTTTAAACGCTACACAATTGACTCACATTCATAATCGATCATTTGGCCTCACTTTTATTTTGTTTCTGCCTCATGATATCCTGCGCTCGGCCCCGTCAGCGTCAGTATGCCCATTCGGTCTCGCAGCATGGAGAACCATCGGAACAAAGAGGCACCTCAATTCTCAGGCATTCCGCCCTTGAAGAGGCAACCTCTTGTAAATTCCATGGCCAGGGTCCCTTCGCCGGGCCCCGGGGGGGGGGGTTTGCGAGCCTGCACACCCCCTTCTTTGGCTGGAGCGCAGCTTCACCCCTGGGAGGTCCGGGAGGTGAGTCTGCTAGCACGCCACCATAAACCAGAAGTCTAACCCTAACCCTAACCCTGGCCAGAAAAAAACGTCGAGAAGGAAGAAGCCGAGCCAGAGAGAGGACGCAGCGGACCCACCACAGGGTGCTGGTAGGAAATCCCCACCCCTACAGTATGTGGCCTTAGATAGGGTAATAACAAGTTCATAGAACACCCTGTAAACTGCCCAGAGACCCCTAGGGGTTAGGGCGGTATAATAAGTTGAATAAATAAATAAACCCTAATAATTTCCGTGGGGGGAAATGAGCTACTCGGCAAAACTCTCGGACTGAAATCTTAAAACTGAGGCTGGATCATGGCCACGGTCTTCCACTGCTGTTTTGGAAGTTTCAAACCTCAGCGCAGGCCCGGGATTCTTTTAACCGACGCCAAACTGAGAAGTTTGTTTTTGTACAAATTAGGCATAAAATGAAGCACTGCAGCTTAGTTAAACAACCGGCAGCTGCAAGCATTCAAAGAGTTTTCCAGAGTTCAGATGAGATTTCAAAGCCAGCCAAACGTCAGGATTCTCAATTGTCTGACTCCTCTTACTGTAGCCAGCCTACAAAGTCTGAGCCCAGCGGCACCTTTAAGACCAACAAAGTTTAATTCTGGGCATAAGCTTCCGTGTGCGTGCACGCTTCTTCAGCCTACGCAACGCATTGCCACAAGATACTCGGCTTTAGAAAGAATTCTGTCTCGTCAGTGGGTAGGACTGGGGATGGCGACTGGCCAATCAAACCACCAAACGCCTCCGTATTCAGGGTGTTTTCGCACTTGAGGCTTACACTGGCTGCTGCGTGGCCCGTCAGTATATGACTGTGGAACATGCCTTGGCTAGAAGACTAATTTCAACAGCAGCTTTGCGGCTTTCACTTCCACATTAGCAGTGTTCAGACCACAAGAGGGTAGTTCAAAGGTGATTTGAGCCTCATGGGGAAATGCCAGTTGCCCCCCCCCCCCCCCGGACTCCCAGATGGTGGTCAGTGGAGAATAAAAGGGAACTGTAGGTTCTACTGAACATGGCATCTCCCACAAGATTTCCTCCGCAGCGTGTAGGATCGCTGGATGCCGTGCTGCTGGCAAGGGCCGTGGACTCAGTGGTAGAGCTTCTGCTTGGCATGCAGAAGGTCCCAGGTTCATTCTTTGGCATTATCTCCAGTTAAAAGGATCAGGTAGTAGGTGATGTGAAAGACCTTTCTCTGCCTGAGACCCTGGAGAGCCACAGAGAGGGGCTGTGGCTTGGTGGAAGAGCCAGTTTGGTGCAGTTTGGCGCAGACTCTAATCTGGGAGAACCGGGTTTGATTCCCCACTCCTCCACTTGCAGCTGCTGGATGACCTTGGGCAAGCCATAGTTCTGTCAGAGCTGTCCTTGAAAAAGAGCCGTTTATGTCAGAGCTCTCTCAGCCCCACCCACCTCACAGGAGGGTGTCTGTTGTGGGGAGGGGAAGGAGTTTGTAAGCCACTCTGAGACTCCCTTCGGGTAGAGAAGGGCGGGGTATAAATCCAATCTCTTCTTCTCCTTCTCCTCCTCTACTTGGCACACAGAAAGTCCCAGGTTCAATCCTTGGCATTCTCTCCACTTAAAGGGGGCCAGGCAGTAGGTTCTGTGAAAGACCATCCTCTGCCTGAGACCCCGGAGAGCCGCTGCCAGTCTGAGTAGACAATACTTGAGTTTGATGGACTAAAGGCCTGATTCAGAATGAAGCAGCTTCATGTTTTCATTAAATAAAATGGACATTTTTGAGAGGGGGAGGCGTGGCTTAGTGGTAGAGCATATGCTTGGCATGCAGGAGGTCCCAGGTTCAGTCCCTGGCAGCATCTCCAGTGAAAAGGTCCAGGCAGGAGGTGATGGGAAAGACCTCCACCTGAGACCCTGGAGAGCTATGGGAAGGGGCTGTGGCTCAGTGGAAGAGCCTCTGCCTGGCATGCAGAAGGTCCCAGGTTCAATCCCCGGCACCTCCAGTGAAAAGGGCCAGGCAGGAGGTGATGGGAAAGACCTCTGCCTGAGACCCTGGAGAGCTATGGGAAGGGGCCGTGGCTCAGTGGCAGAGCCTCTGCCTGGCATGCAGAAGGTCCCAGGTTCAGTCCCCGGCATCTCCAGTTAAAAGAACCAGGCAGGAGGTGCTGGGAAAGACCCCAGCCTGAGACCCTGGAGAGTTGTCAAGAGGGGCTGTGGCTCAGTGGAAGAACCCCTGCCTGGCATGCAGGAGGTCCCAGGTTCAATCCCCGGCATCTCCAGTTAAAAAGGACCAGGCAGGAGGTGATGGGAAAGACCTCGGCCTGAGACCCTGGAGAGCTGTAAAGAGGGGCCGTGGCTCAGTGGAAGAGCCTCTGCCTGGCATGCAGAAGGTCCCAGGTTCAGTCCCCAGCAGCATCTCCAGTTAAAAGGGACAGGCAGGAGGTGATGGGAAAGACCTCAGCCTGAGACCCCAGAGAGCCGCTGCTAGTCTGAGTAGACAAGACTGACCTTGAGGGACCGAGGGTCTGATTCAGGAGAAGGCCGCTTCATGTGTGTGTTTGTTAGCCCTGCCCAGATAAGGAAGAATCGGTATCACCAACACGAAAGGAGTGAATGTGACCGAGCCTCTGGCATCTGGCCCTGTCAGAGGACAGAATTCTGAGCTCTGTGGCATTGTGGTCAAACCCTGCCTTTCCTAGTTGAAGGGTATCGAGAGAGAGGGGCGTAGCAGGACCGCAAACCTTGGTTAGGGCCAACAGACCCACCTTCCCCATTTCTTCCAATGCAGGTCTTAGGAGAGCCAGTTCAGAACCGCAAACTGGTGGCTGAGCTGACGCTGATCAACCCCCTGCCTGGCCCGCTGAGTGGCTGTGTCTTCACCATGGAGGGCGCTGGTCTCACCAAAGGACAGAAGGTCCAGGAGCTGTGAGTATCCGGTTCTGGAACCTCGAGGGGGAAGAGAGCCGCTTAACGTGAGTTGCGGCAGCAGGGGTAGGCGAACATGCTTTCCATTGACGAACAGGACACCTGTGCATTTTCCTCACGTGCACACGTCCATAGCCGGCCGTACAGAGCCATACAGCTCTTCTTGTCTCTGTGGCCTCTCACATTGAGTCAGAAGAAAAGGTTGAGCAGAAACTGGGTTGTGGCTACCAGTATGGAAGACTTCAAGAGGGAATTAGATAAGCATATGGAGCAGAGGTCCATCAGTGGCTCTTAGCTACAAGGTATAGAGAGGAACTCTAGGTCTGGGGCAAGTGATGCTCTGTCTTGGTTCTGGGGGGGGGGGGCAACAGTGGGAGGGCTTCTGGTGTCCTCCTGGCCCTACTGCTAGATTTCTTGATGGGAGCTGGTATTTTTGGTCACTGTGTGACGCAGAGTGTTGGACTGGATGGGCCATTGGCCTGATCCAGCATTGGCTTCTCTTATGTTCTTATGTTCTTATCCCCAGCGACAGCCCCGTCGGGCCAGGAGAGGAGGCGAAAGTGCGGGTGGACTTCGTGCCTCAGCAGTCCGGCCTGAGGAAGCTGGTGGTGGACTTCGAGAGCGACAAGCTGACGGGCGTGAAGGGCTACCGGAATGTCATCATCGCCCCCCTGTCCAAGTGAAGCCCGCCCTGGAGGGGAGGAGGCTGCTTGTCTAGCAATACTTGACGAGGGAGGGCTGCAGCAGCCGAGGAGACCCAAGGACACCTGCTTTGACCCTCCGTGGCCAGCGATTGGCCAGCACGCACCTCTTTCTCCTCCCGTCGTATGCGCAAAAAAAGAGGAAGGGGTGGTGGCCCAACGGGGGAGCCACTCCTAGGCCCCCCTGCACCATCCTCCCCTAGCACCCCTGCAGAAAGAAGATCCACACCACCCCCCGCTTGCTTTCTTGGGTCAGCCCAGTCCTCGTCCCCCACCGGAGTCTTCGGCTGCTCAAGCCAGCTGGAGATAGGAGAGTCACCAGCCACCCAGCCACCTCCCCCTCAGTATCCACATGGCAGACCTGACCACATCTAAGTGTTCTTCGCGACATGGTAACTGGCAAGATAGCAGAGCCCCGTCACAAGATCGTCTCATAGTCCAGGCTACATAAGCAGTAATACGAATGGATAATTATCATATGGTATTGTTTGTGTATAATAGCCAGGAGAACCTAAGATGGTTGTTGAAGGCTTTCACGGCCGGAGTTCATTAGCTGTTGCGGGTTTTCCAGGCTGTCTGGCCGTGGTCTTGGCATTGTAGGACCTGATGTTTCACCAGCAGCTGTGACTGGCATCCTCAGAGGTAGAACACAGAAAGAGGGAGGACTCTCTGTGCCAAGGTGAGAAGGAAAATGGTAGGCAGGTAATTTATATCTAGTCAGGAAGGTGGGGGTAGGGCTGAGTCATTATCTCGTAGGAGTTCCCCAGGCTGTGGAACGTGCTAATGGAGGAGCTTTCCTGAGGAGGTTCTTTTGCATATGGATTACTTCCTGAGGAGGTTTCAGGTCCTACAATGTCAAGACCACGGCCATACGACCCGGAAAATCTGCAACAGCTAATGATCCTAAGATGGTCTGGCAGTCAGAAGTTCTAGCTGTTTTAGCGTTATGCACCACTACGTGGTGAGCTAGACTTGTTTTTAAGGCAGAGGTGGTTTGCCATTGCATGCCTTTGCATGATGACCCTGCTTAGCTTCCAAATACTAGCCAAGGCCGACCCTGCTTAGCTTCCGAGATCTGATGAGATTGGGCTAGCTTGGGCTATCCAGGTCATGGGTAGAAACCTGAAGCTGTACCGCTTCAAACTTCACTTTTTGATCCTTGCTCAGCCCACTCTCTGCTGAGCTAATTACGATTTGTGGGGATTTATTTTTTTTAAATGGAATCCACAATGTGGTTTCAGCTCCTCACGGTATGAAGTGGTACAGTCCATTCTACTCCATCAGGACTCTACCACTGCATTCCCCTCTTAGGATGTACCTAGAGATGTGAAGGCCCAGAAAAAAACTGGAAAAATTCGGGGGGGGGGGGAACGTTTTTCCCCCAGGTTTTTTTTCCTGAAGCCTTTTTTGTTTTTTCCCGAAAAATTGGAAAAATTGAAAAAAGAAAAGAAAAGGGGAAAAATTGACTATGGAACATTTTATTTTAACATGATGAACAAAATATTTTAAGACAAGGTGTTCAAATATTTTCCAAATCATTTCTAAAAAAATATGTATGGTATCAGATTGATCTAATTTCTGTGCACTGAGGACAAGAAAGTCCTAGGTTACAAACTGACCTCTCCAATGCAAGAACAAGATGCATTTCTTCCTTTAGGAGGTGCTACTGTCACAAGAAAAGAAAAAGGTTTCAGGTTTTGTTTTTGCGTGTGGGTGGGTATTCTGTTTGTAATAACTGTTTGGAGACACTACATTTTTAATATGCTAGCTGTGATGATTTCATGCCAAGTAAAAATGTCCATAGTCATATTTTATGTTCCTAAAGTAACAGAATGACTTTCAATCTGGAAAAGAAAAGTGCCAATGTAGCATTTTTTTCAATTTTTTCAAAAATTTCCTTTTTTCCCGGGGGGAAATGGATTCCCCCCCCCCCCCCGAGCTTCAAAATTTCCAGAACTTTTACATCTCTAGATGTACCATGTGGATAGTGAGGGTAAACAGTCAAATCAGGGTAACTGTCATTCAGAACGAGTGGCCTTTATCGTGTAGATTTCTACGGACTTCTCAGTTATCTTAGCCACCCCCCACCCCTTCGGAGGCAGCCAAACAGCCCTCCCTCATGGGGGCGGGCAGGATGATTGACAGCAAGGGATAGCATGGATTAGATTGACCCTCTCAAATCTCCAGTCGCCCAGCAGCCATCAGGAATAGAAAGGGTCACTGTGGAGACTCTCTGTAAGATCGAGACAATCGTCGTGGAAAAGAAACATCTCCAGAATCGTTGCGATACGCAGTTGGCTTTTGCCAGCCTCCACCTGAGTCCTACATCAGAAGAGCCCTGCCGGATCAGACCAGTGGTCCTAGTCCAGCATCCCGTCTCACACAGTTTTCCTGCTAACTCCCCACCCCACACACACACCTTAATAGAGCTCCTTGTGTTCTCTGAAATGGGGGCATTGTCACAACACTCTGACCTGCAACCAGACTCCCTAGGCTTGGTGTCTTAGTCTGATTACTCCCATTCAGCTTTGCAAAAACGGCCAAAGCCAGCCCAAGAGAGCCAAAGAAGGAGGGTTGAATGGGAAAACAGCACGGAACGAACCGATCGCTGGAGTCAAGATGACCTCAACACTCCTGAGGGGGGAAAAACATCTAGCACAAAGAACATTGCCTCCCATGCTTCCTTCTGGCTGGCCCCCCTAGGTGTGGCCGTCACGAGCGCTGGCGTGTTCCAGAGACCCGTGACCCCAAGCAGAAGGGGCTGTGTTTTTTTGCAAAGCTGGAGAGGCTACCAGGCTGCCAGCCGCCGTGACTGTCAGACAAAGGCCGGCATCAGAGTTCTGCTCGGACTGGGCGGCCTCCCACGGCTGCCGCCACCGCCTCTCTTTTCCACTCCGACTGCATCCAGCTTGGACCTTCTCCTCTGCTATTTTTAGTGCTTTCGCTGGAGAATTTCTGTTTTTAAAAAACCCCTCCGCTTGTAAATAAAAAGGCACAGCAGGAGGGCACGAGAAAGTGTCTCCTGTGAGGGTGCAGGCTGGGTAGAGAAAGTGTCTTTCTGCTGGGTTTGCCAACTTCCAGGTGGGTATGGAAAGGTATATGACACGGTGTACAATAGATGATGCTTGAGATAGATCTGTTTTGTGCGTTTTATTTTTATTTTTTTAAAAAATTCTATACTGTTATATAAATGTTGGTGTCAAGGATTACCAAACATGGTTTTCATCCGAACAATACATCAAAGTGCAGGTTTACACCATGTTCAAACATTTGCACCTTGTCAGTTTCACAATCACTAGTCCCAGGGGACTCTGGGAACCAGGGGTCATTTCCTGCGGGAGCACACAGGAGCAGAGCTCTGGCAGGAAGGAGCCCAGGGGGCAGGCACATGCAACAATCCCCACCCCCTGCTCCCAGCAGCCCTCAGTCGGGCCACGAGGAGCAAGAAGCAGCCAGGTAAGTTGCAGAGCCCCCCCCCCGGCCCCCCTTCAGGACACAGACCTCCCCC